GGTATACATAAAAAAATGGCATTAATGGTATAGGTTTAACGCCCCTATCAACATTGTTAGGTTATTTCCGAGTTAACGTCCATCTCCAAAAGGACAGAGCCAAGAGGGGAAATTCGAGTTAAGTGTCTTTCCCAAGAACACAACGTCGGACCGCGCTGAGGCTCGAACCCCCAAACTCGCAATCCCACGATTACAAGTCCGGTAGCCTACCCACTAGGCCACCGACCCCACTGGTTCACTGTGAGAAAAAAGAACGGTAATATTGATCGCTACACTGTAGATTATAAACACTGTAAATGTTTGTTTGGGGGGGGGGGGCTTTTTACGTCATTTAAGAGGCTGGCAACTGCGATTCGAACTCCAGTCTCCTGCATGCGATTGCAAAGGGTCTATCCAATATTTTTCCGCAGGTGTGCTATCCTTTCCTAACGTTTGCGGTCCTGCTCGCCTAGATATTGCTGCAGCTGGGTTACTCTCTAAGAAAAACAGAAAGATAATATGTGAGGCAGCGCAGTGGAATCCGGCTCTCGTCAATTTTTGGGCATGTAGAGTTATTGGTATCATCTTAAAACTTGCTCACTTGTCTCTATTTGTTTGAAAAAAATATCCATTTACCTTGAATACAAGTCCAGATATTTGCAAATAAAGGAGGTGGGGGTCACCTGTTTTCAGAGGTAAAATTAATGAGAAAATGGCCGCAAAAGATTAGTTATTTCCTTAGATTAAAAGTCCGTGGTAACTGAAAATTTACATTTTTTGTGAATTTAATTAATGTTTTTCAGAAGAATCCGCACAGAAATGAGTTCTTTAATGGACGGCATGAAAGGTGTTGAGTCAAAAATCGAAAATTTGATAACAATTCACAAACCTGCGGAAAAATGCAAGTTTCTTCACTTTGATTATTTTGACGAGAGCCTGATTCCACCACGCTGCCTCACATATTATTGCTCGCTGCACTGTAGGTAATAAACACCGTAAATGTCTCACGCCTCCATTGACTCAAAAAATAACGCCGGTTTCTCCGATTCCACCAGTTTGACGAACGCCTGACTTCACCACGATTTCTCCCGTATATCAAATTTTCATTCTTTGATTTAATATTTCTGCGGGTAATTGGAGATTGTCGTTTGAAACTTCTCTCTTTTTTAAAGCTGAAATTGCTTATGTTTACTTAAAATTTCAGACTGAACTTGCTGCAACAAAGCAGGGAATAGGCTTACGACGTGTAAGAGTTGGTCGCTTTTAAACACAAGGGGGCTATCCCGAAAAATGCTGTTTTGAGAAAATCGAAGGTAAAGTTTTTATCCCTTGTTCATCTTCTTTAAAAGACAAGGAACGTTTTATCTATAACCAAACAAACATACACACCAATGAAACCAAACTTCTCCTTCAGGTAAAGCAATGTCCACTTTTGGTGTAGGTCAAGATTTCTGGAAATCCCTGAAATCTGGGTTAGCCCGCTTGTCCTTAAAAGCGACCAGCTGATAGGTGGTATTAAAATTTGTAGGTGAAGACAGAAGGGAAGTCCGTCCACAGAGATAGAGAAAGCCCAGATAGATAGGAACAATGGCCTGATTCCTAAATTGCTTGAATTGAGATGGCAGTGGATAACAATGATAGTTCTTTCCTTGATGTCTGACAACGACAAACGCAACTACATAGGAAAATATTTCTCGGAAAGAAATAAAAGAAAAAAAAAAAAGATTCGAGAAGATTTGACCAATTTTGGAGTACAAAAGTTTGCCACATTTTAAGCGTTTAAAAGCTTCGTTTCCACATGTTGCGGAAGTGTACAGCTCGTGGGTTTCTCTCTTGGCTTCAGTATTTCTAATTTGCGAAGCCTCTAACGATAATGTTTTACCCTCTGTGACTTATTGCTCTCCATGTGGGACTGTAAGCAGCTAGCCTCTCCCACGTCA